TTTCAAACATATCCCAAGTGATCTAAGAACATTTATGAAATATAAAATGAGTAAGAGATGCATCGTACATATACATTCACCAAGGTGAAATGATATTAAAAAACCCTTTAACTACTTAATTCCTTAACAAAGATCCCATCCATCAATATAATTGAAAAATAGTGTATAGGGTTGATAATTACAAGCTTTCAAAAGAATAAGTTACATTGTCATTTAGGTGATTACAAAATAACTCTCTAAACCTCTGAAATGATGCCCTGAAACATGGAGGTGTATATGTGTATGTAGATATATAGAGAGAAAGAGGAAGTTATAGAGAGAAGGGATGGCCAAAAATGGGAAAGAAGGAGGGGGTTGGCCAAGTCAATGAGATGTACATAGCTCTCATTGTGCCAAGTGTCAAATGATGGTTAATTCTAACTTTGGTTAAAGTTACCAGTATGCCCCTCCTTGAAAAACCATGTACATAAGTGTCCCTAAAATATCATACCATACACACACACACACACACACACACACACACACACACACACACATATATATACATACACACAACATACCAATAAGTAACCATTGAGGAAAAACCAGGAAAGGATTCCCGAGCACAAAAGTGTCCCAACTCCGAAAAATTTTAAAATCGATCCTGTCAATCCCAAAATGCATAAAATAATCAAAATGCAGTTCTAAAAATTTTGAGCTCAAGAAAATGTCTTGAACGACCCCCGGGACCCACGTGGCATGCAAAACGAGGTACAAAAAATAAATAAAATAAAAATACCGAAACAAGGGCATTGTTTGTTCGGCACCACCTGCTCGAGAATGGTTTGTGGAGAAATTATTGATGATTTGTGATCTAAGAAGATATTGGTGATTCTTCCACTACATATTTTAAACATATGTATGAAGGAAAATGGTCTTAGGAGATTGTTGATTCTTCCATCTATATATTTTAAATATGCGTATGAAGGAAAATAGTCTGAGGAGATATTCTTGGTTGTTATGGACTGAGGAGACATGGTTGGTTATTTATGGTCTTATAAGACACTTTGATTAGTTGATCGACACTTAGATTGTGTTTGAGGACGCATTGTCCAAGTTGGACGTCTCAGATATTCACGCACTAACATGATGGGGAGTGGTTACAGAAATATGACAACCACAAAATATGGAGTTTGACTTTTTTTACGCATATATCTAGCAATAAAATATGCTGTGATTTGATTTAATTTCTTTTCTTGTAATACGAGTATTTTTTTTTTTAATCTATAAATACTAGATATGTAAATGAGTTATTTATCTCATTCAAGCTTTTTACAAGTTTCTCCTCTCTTTCTTCTATATTGTATATATTTTATTATTAATCCTATCTTCCCTTCCTAACATTCACCTTATCATCCACATTTCTGCCACATCTCATTATGTATTTTATGAAAAACCATTTCATGTTTTATATTTTAGTACTGTTCAAATTTCAACACACTAGTTGTGTCTAACATTGTTCGCGTTTCCCAGACCAACCAACAAAGTTTTCACTTTAGAAGATGCAATTTGTGTCATATTAACACCCAAATTTCAAAATACTTCTATTTTATAGAAGGGTTAATTTCACTGACACCCCCTCAGGTTTGGCCAAATATCACATTAAAATACTTTTCGAAATTATTATCACTCACATTACAAATATGTGCTCCATTTTTCACTCACACCCAAAAAGTTATTTTTCATATATGTTAGGCCACTTTTTATATGTAAAATTACATTATACCCTTTTAACACTGCATTGACTTACAAAAAGAATTGAAATGACTTAGATACCATTTACAATTATTATTATTATTATTATTATTATTATTATATATCCTTATATGTAGGGAAACATGTTCTTATATTGGTTTGAAAACCCTCATTTGAACACACAAATCTTCAAGACAAATAACCAATCCGTCTACACTGGATCTGTATAGCTGACCAATCCTAATTTTAAATCCTACTTATGTTGCATATAAATTTTAAAACTCTTATGTGGCTTCTACTGAATCAAACTCTAAACCCACATACGGTTCAATCTTTGACTCTCCCTCATCCTCTCTGTGGCCATTATCTTTCAAAACCACTGCACCAGCTAGTTTTGCTCTTATATAGTGTTCCCAATCTATTCTCTATTCATATTAATATCTGAGCATGCTAATGCCATAGCAAATATTGCTGTAAAAAAAAAAAAAAAAAAAAAAAAAAAAAAAAAAAAAAAAAAAAACACACACACACACATCAAATACAAGAAATATCTTATAATTATTATTGTATAAGATTATTCCCTACTCTTATTATTATCTCTAATAAGCAATATAAATATAGTTATAAATATCAATAAAGCACAAAAATGGTGTGGCCTCCTCTCCTTCCTTTGCCACTGGCGACTCATCAAAGTTTTCTCACTATTTGAAATGGTATTAGTAAAACAATTTCCACCCATGTGAACCGATTAGGATAATTAATTGAACTAATCCAAGCAACAAAGGAAGTAATCAAATAATTTTCTGCACATCAGCACTTTCTCAATCATTAAAGACTGTAGAACCACCACCAACCACCCATAAGTGACCGACTTCAACCCCAACCACACACCCCCATATAAACGGGATCACACACATATCAGATAGAGGAAAAAGATGAACATATAATTCAAGAATGGACACTCTGTTTCAAAGCAGGGATTCATGGGATGACGTCACCAATCACAATCGGTGGCTGTGGTGTTAAGGTCTGTATGAATCATTCTCATATTCCTGCATCCGTTGGGCGGTGGAGACCTCAAACAGAATTGAGAATTAAGCTTTATTAACAAAATGAAGCAAATTATAGGATTTAGATGGACACACATACACACATATATTGGTGAGTCAACTACACTATAACTTGGAAATTGAACATTATGTAGGGATGATATCAAAATAATCAAACCCCCCCTCCCCCGGGGGGGGGGGGGGGAAACTGTATTAAAAGCTTTCTCGAAAATAAATTGTCTAGAAAATTAATTTACATGAACATGACTAATTAAGAAAGAGAACAAGTCAAAAAGAAAGAGAGAGAGAGAGATAGTAAATATACAAAGTAATTAAATAGCCAGGACCACATATGTCGTCATTAAGAAAATTTAAGATCCAGCAGTCCCATGACTTGGATATATGTAAAAGTATATATATATATATATATATATATATATATATATATATATATATGTCAAATTGTGTTCGGGTATGACATGTGCCGCGGGGCGAAATTCGGATAGGCTTTCTAAAATGTAGTTCGGATCAGCAGCAAGATATAGAGATGAAAAAAGAAAAGAGATAGGTGGTCGGTGGGTTTGTTAAAGGTCTTAGTCCTTGGAAGGAGGGTTTGCAGAAAAGGTGGAGATGGAAGAAGTGGGAGTGGATGTGAATTTTAGAAAGATAAATAAATGGGGGCGATTTTGTCTTTTAAGTTTGTATGATATTTTAGATTAAAATGAATTTTAAAAAATAGGGTTAAAATTCTATATTTTTAATGGTAAAAGTGATGAAAAAGTAAGCTAGGGTATGAGTGATAGTTATTTTCGAAAAGTGTTTCCATGTGATATTTGGCCAAATCTGACGGGGTGTTAATGAAATTAACCTTTTTAAAAAAAATTTCCTTCCAAATCTGATGATTTTAATGTGACAACTTAGATTCTTATTAGATTTGTAATTGTGACTAGTGGCTTAATTAATCATAATTGGAGATCTTATGGCTACGTTTGGTGTGTAGGAATGGAATGTAATTTGGAATGGAATAAGAATAAGAATATAATGGGATGACTATTCTTATTCCATTGTTTTGTGTGACACGGTGAATCATTATGGAATGGAATAATTGTTATCATTCTATTGTTTGGTTGATTATAATTAAATTTGGAATAGAATAATTTTTCTCAAAAATACCCTTTTCATTGGCTTACATTACTTTTTAATAAAATCAATCTAATTAATATTCTGATGATGAATTATGAGATGCTATAAGATGCTCAATACTGTAATTGAAAAAAATAAAGAAAAAACTTTAAATTAAATTAAATTATTTTTAATGAGATTTTAATCTTAATAAATGACTGCAAAAGAAAAAATATCTGAATTCCCAAAAGAGCAAGCACAAATCCAAAGCCACCTCCCAGCCCCATGGTCACAATAATGTTCTAGAATTGGCTTTAAATCTTGGACAGATTCAAGTTTTACAACTAAATCAATTCACTATGATTGAAGACACGCAAATAAATTTGTCAGTATAATTTTATCCAAAAACGGTTGAATACTTAATCTAAAAAGCTGATGTTACCAACGCGCAAGTGGCCTAGCGATATCAGCCTCTTACTTCCCAAAGGGAGGTCAGAGGTTCAAGTCTCAAAAGAGACAAGTGTATGTGAGTACCAACTAGGAAAAAAAAAAAAAAAAAAAAAAAAAACTGATGTAATATATATATATATATATATATATATAAAATATGGTTGAAGGTCTTACAACTTTTTGTCAATGGCAAATATATTTAGAAGAGAGGGAAGGTGAAAGACCTTTACCATGTCTAATAAAGAAGCTCAAAAAACATGAAAAATGGAATGTGAAAGATTTTTTTGTCTATGCAAAAGATTTTTTTGTCTATGCTTGGAATGTGATGGAGGACTTATTGGGAATATTACAAAAATATTTAATCTTACTATGGAATGGAATGGCCATTCAATATGTTTAGTAATGGAATGAATTTTCATTCTCTATTCTATTCCTGCTCACTAAACAAATAAATTGTTGGAATGGATATTAGTGGGAGTTTTTATTATTATAATACGGGGCAATTGTGTGATTTTCAAATTGGACGAGGAAGGGTTTTCATTGTAACACACGTCTTACATGCATATAGCCACGTATATACCTAGCCTTACACCTGTTAATACATGCACCCACCTTGACACACCTCATAAGCCCCATTGGTTTTCCTACGCATACAAAACAAAAGGGAGAAATACAGAGAGTAGGGAATGAGAAATAGAGTTGGGAAGAGAGTAGAACAAGAGAAGAGGAGTAAGGTGGTTCGGCCATGGAAGGAGAGACTCAAGGCTGGAAGTTTTAAAAAGCTATATCCTCATCTTCACACCATCAACCTCTTATCCTCATATCCTCATCTAAAGGTAGGGTTTGTTCCAACTTTTGTTTCTTTGTGTGATTTGGGTTCTTAGTTCATACCTTGTTGCCATGAAAATTATTCTTGATCTGAAATTGCAACTGCTCTGTCAATTACTTGAACATCCTCTTTGATCCAACACATCTTTATTGAGTTTCTTGTGCCAAAATTGTTGAACAACTTGTTGGTTCTTATATATGTGTAATTGATATGCATATAATTTCTCAAAGTTGCAAAGCATTCTCTATTCATGGCTGTTCTTCCTATTTATGTTCTTAGATCCCTTAGCAACATTTGTTAGTGCATTTCTTACTGGGACTTCTAGTCTCCCCTCATTTCAGGTTTCTATGATCAGTGAAGAATTGGAGTTGCTAATTTCATATAGCTGGAGACTATTATATTGTGCATACAGTGTTTGAGGAAATGTTTGTATTTGAAATATTTGATGTATTTGTGAGGTTAAATGTCTATGTTGTATATAAACCATTTTTTGGGCATCTAGAGATTGGTTGTACCTATCCTTCTATAGTAGTTGTGATAGATTTTGTATTTAGAGCTTAAGTAAGAAAAGAAGGATTTTGTATTATGCTGAAATTCAATATTTTCTCCAGGGAGATGTAATGTTCTGATTGCTACGAAATTTTTACCACAGGTTCCTCTGCATGTCTAATTACTCTTTGCAAAATTTCATAATTTTTGGCTGAACGTTTATTTTTTTAAAAAATCCGACAGCACTTGCTGTCCGCTGTTAGAAAACCAATTTTAAAATTGTTTATTTGAACAACTTCTCGACACCAGATCATTACCAAAATTTTCAGTTTTATACTACCATGAATCTACTATCAAAATAAATTGAGTTTGCCTTGTTTCGATTTGAAATGAATTTTCTATGGATTTTTAGTTAGCAGCTATGCAGATTTTGTTTTGAGGTTGTTTGATATTATTTGTGTTTGATTTAGGACCACGAATGGACTCCTAATTCATATTTGGGATAATTTTTGGTTAGTTTATTCAGTCTTTTTCCGAAATCATATTTTGTAATAGCCCCTGTTTCAGGTCGTGACATTTTAATTCCGTTCTAAATTCTGTCTCCCCTTTCTTTATTTCTTTTAAATTTAATAATCTATGTCGAATCTCCATTTTTGGTCCTCCTCACTTCCTGCTCTCATCTATGGAGACAAAGTCATCAGAAACTGCAATTCATGCCATTTTAGGCCCCAATTCCCTAAGTTCGTCTAGACAAGACCCACATTTCGCACACAAAAGAACCAGAAAACCCACCTTGAAAGTGCTTCAATTTAATCTAGGAAGAAATGGGTATCGCCCAATTCAATCTTTTTCAACTTTTCCCACCAAGTAATCCAATATAAAACAATGTGCTTCCTTTATGTAAATTCTCTCCTTTTTTTTTATTTTTTTATTTTCTTATTTATTTATTTTTCTGCATTTTGTGCTTTAAAGATAGCTAGGAATTTGATTATTGCTAATGAAGATGATCTCATTCTCTACACAGAAAAACACATATATTAATGTTCTGATTGACACTTTCATGATACATATTAAACCATGAATTGTTGTTTGAGGAATACAACTAATAGTTCGAATTACAAGGGGTTGAACTTAGACTTGTGTATAGGCTATGATACACTGGGTTGATCTTTAAATATCGTTTTGGGTTGAGTTTGAGTTGATATGTGATCCAATCTAATTGTCTGAGTTGTAATCATGCACATTAGATGTCTCTTTATTGGAACAAAGAAAAGGGCTAGCCTAGTGCACGAGTCTCCCGCATTGCGGGGTCTGGGGAGGGTCTGATGTATACAGTCTTACTTTCAAATGGATAATGTTTCTAGTTTTGAACCCGTGACTTCCAAGTCACAATGGAGCAACTTTACCGTTGTGCCAAGGCCCACCCTCCTCTTTATGTGAACATAGTAATTATTTTGCCTTCTATGTGGCAATGCTATAGTTTAGTCAAAAGGTCTTTAGAAGGCTTGTTGGTAGGAGCATGTGACGGCCCTGCTTCTTCAAGGTAGTGCGTCCTGTGATGAACCGGAGATTGACCCGATAGCGGATCCAGATGCGGAAGTAAGAAACAAGACAACGGTCTCCCAAGACACAACATGCTTCTAAGACACTTTGATGACCTTCCACGAGGTCTGGAACTCAATGAGAACTGACGTGGAAACAAAAGATCGAAAAAGTAACAATTTAGCCCCCAGGGGCAAAATAGTCATTTATGAAAATATGGATTTGGGTGCCACCGAGCACACCGCTGGAAAGACAATGAAAAATTAATCAAGATGGACTCAAGAATCGAATGATTCGGAGTCCGGACGAAGGAGAAACGGTATGACGAAGAAAAACGAGCCCTTAAGGCTAAAAGGGTAAACTGGTAATTATCCAGGAAGATCCGGGTGCAACCGAGCACACCGTTGGAAAGACAGCGAAAAATTAATCAAGTTCAAAAAAAAATTCACTCAATTTGGAGTCCGGACGAAGGAGAACGAGCGAAAACAAAAGTCGAGACGAGCACCCTGACAAGTGGCATGACATACTAGGGGAAGAAAAGTTCCAGCTAGAACTGAGAGCCGAAAAGAGGTCTAAAACGAATTTTTCTGGAAAAACATGAAGAAGAAACCCCTCAAAATCAAGTTTTCTACCCGACAACGCGGAGGAAAACAAAAAAAACTCACTGTGAAATATCCAAATTGCCCCTAGATCATAGGAGGTCAAGAGGGTCAAAAAGCTGCTACAGGATCTGTCCGCGACTGAGAGCAAAAACGGGCCATCAAACGAATTTTTTGGGAAAACACAAAGAAGAAACCCCCCCCCCCCCCCCCCCCAAAAAAAAAATCAAGTTTTTTACCCGACAACGTGGACGGAAACAAATAAAATACACTGTAAAATGCCCAGAATACCCCCAAGAAAATTAGGTCAAGAAGTTTAAAATCTTTCCGAGCTGTTGCCAAAGGAAAGGAAATGGGGTTTCGGGAGGTTTTTAAATTGTCTAAATTGAAAATGCAATCTTAAAATACACCCACAAAACTCCCGAAAGTTTTGGATCGGTCGACACATTTTTCAAAAAAAAGTCGATGAATAGTACCAAGTACTAAAATCTCAAGTTTTAAAAAACATATTTATAAACTTTACAATTAATGGTCCTTGGCCTCATGTCATACATACAAAACAAGCATCCAAAAAGTGTACTTAGGTACACATTACATATTTGGAATCAAGGATACAAGTTTTGACATATAAGACTACAAAATGACATTTCATGCTAACATTTGTATGAAATGGAAACTTGAAAGCTACAAGTCATCCAAGGAATGATGAGCATCACGAACCAAGTCTTCGTACCTGAAACAAATCCCTAGTAACTTAGGGGTGAGTAACATAAAGCTACTCGTAGGAAATGAGCATGCATCGATCCAACATTTTACAAAATTATCACCTTAAGGTGAAACATGTCAAGGGGCTCATGCTACCTAACGTCTATGTCAAACTGAGACTCAGGGAGCATTCTAAACTACCTTAGATCATTTTTAGCATAAATCACATCATTCATGCAATTTAACTATATAGAAACATACTATACAACGCAACAAGATATAGGTTCTCAATAGTATTAATTTGCAATCTAAGATACGAAAACAATTAAAGTGGGTCATGCCACCTAGCGTCTATGTTCCAAATGAGTATAAGGAATCATCCTAAGCTACATTAGAACAATAAAACACAAGTGACGATATTGATGCAATTTAACCAACATTGGAACTTCTAATACCACACATAAAGCATGATTTCTCAAGTTAACATCTTGAAACTCAAAATGGAAAATCAAATAAGGAACAACAAGTTACGATATCATCTAGTTATCAACTTGAAATGAAATGCGAAATCAAACCAGGTAGATACTTGGACGCCACGTTGGATCAGACCGACACCATAGTTACTTTAGGGTTACTAGCCCACGGGTAACCTCCCTATGTGCGTACTAGACTTGTAGAGGGACAATCCCCCATACTAGAACCATGTCTTAGCCTTAGTCAAACAACGATATCCCCAAGTTTCCAAAATCAACAAGTTGTGCAACAACGTATATATCAATATGTATAAGATAATCAACTATCTATCACGCACAACCAAAATTGGAAACACATACAATACATGTTCTAAGTTCATAACTACTATGGCATGAAAGATGTCAAATACAAAATATGCAAGTCATTACACAAGACAATGATATATTCAATAAAGAAAACATATTTTCATGAATATAAATATAACAATTATGTTATCCAATGCTCAAAATGTAACCAAGTAAATATACAACAAGTCCAAGTCCATGATTTAAACATAGAAACAACTTTCAAAACACAATTAAATCCATGGAGCAATTAGATAGAATTTAATTAAATAAAAATAATTAAATTCTCTAGATTCCAAATTAATTCCAAATAACCTCAAATTTATATATGTTGAAGGACATATCATGGTCATCACATATATAACATCAAATAACTAATTAAGTGATTAAAACGCTAAAAATAAAATTAATTAAGCTAATTAATTAATTTGCTCAAGATTTTTAAATAACTCCAAATGCTCTCAGATTAACATATGTTCAAGAACTCGCCAAGGCCTACTTTAATATCACATTACAAGTTTATTTCATGCTTGATACAACCAAGTGAATTAAACTTTCACAAAAGATAAATATTAAATAAAAGTTGCAATTCTTATTCAAATAATCCCAATTTAATATATATCAACCACCATACCAAGGCCTAAATTTCTAGCATGCCACAATTTAATTCTAAGTTGAATATCATCATTAGAATTAAATCTTACACAAAGAAAATAATTAAATTAAATTCTAGATTATGAACAAAAGCATGCATATAAGTTGTATAAGCATCATTAGCATGCAAGACAACAAAAATATGAAATTATAACACCCCTTACCTCCATTTGAGATGAAAATCTCAAATCCCCACCGAAAGAAAAGTGCTCCGAATCCGACGATACTCCTAGGTTATATCGGGGACAACACGGTGAACATTAAACTCCAAAGAGGACATACCAAAATCCAAACTTGACTTCAAACTCGAACTCAAAAATAGCCAAAAATGGATTCTAATAAGGGGGAAAGATGCGCGCAGTTAAGACAAGCATAAAACACGAAGGCACTACGACTTTTTAACAAAGGGAAGTAGGTTTACTTGAGAGAAGAAGGGTGGCAGCTCCCTTAGGCTGCCATGGTAGCTTCTGGTCGTGCATGAAGAGAGGGGAAGATCATTTTTTTATTTTATAACCCCCTATTTATAGGAAAACCCTAAAAGTACCCTAAAAGGGCCCCGCCTGTTCCGGAAAAGTGAAATTTGAGCAGACGTGCTCAAACGGCAAAACTCTATGAATGAAAAAGAACCGAAATGAGAAAATATGAACAACGGAAGAAACGGCGTCGAAAACTGGGTCCCGAGCATAGAGATATGTGCTGAACAAGTTCGACGGCAACCAGGGTCAGAAACCCTGAAACTGGGGAAAAACGACCAGAAAAGCATTTTAAGAATACACGACTCGATGAAAAGTGAAAATGAATCTCATATGAGGATCCAAGCTCAAAACGAGGCATTTTTGCAATAACTTTCATTAATTGCACAATGGCCCCTCCAAAAAGTGAAAACTGCACTGATAACCCAGAATGAAAATATCTTCCAAAAATATTTTCTTAAAAATCCCTGAAATAAAATATCTTCAAAAGATATTTACGAAAAATACCCCAAGAAAAGAAAAAGATTCTGAAAAACTATGCATCCATGTCCCTATGGACACCGGGAGCAACCAGAGCACTTTACTGCAAAAGTAAAGATACGTATTTAGTGGAAACCACTTAGAATGAAGATACGTGAAGTCAAAAACCAACTCCGAGCACGAAAAGTGAGGTTGTGCCAAAAAATAACAAACGGGGAAAAGACAAAATAGGGAAAAGGACGAAAAGTGAATAGTGTCGAAAAACGAAAAATGTGGAAATGACTCAGTCCTTAAAGGAAGTTGTCAATTCAAAGGAAAGAGTCTCAAAAACCATTTCCGAGCACTCGAAACGACACTAAGTGATGAAAAACCAAACACAGAATAGAAAAGATAACGGAAAAAATTTATCCGCAAAATTTGAGAAAAAAGGAAAGGAAGAAAATGACCGGGTCATTACAGAGCAAGTGTTGTCAAGCACTTAAAAAGCCATTTGGACAACTATCCAAATGTCAGTGGAAAAGCGCATCTCATTGTATGATACCAGTTTCTAGATTCCTATTTCCAGAATCAAATTTTGACTCGATAAGACTGAATTTTTTTTCTCTCTTTCATTTAATAGCTGCTAGTAATGCTTTTGGTGCATAGTAGAAAGTGAAAGCATGATGGCAATTAGAACTAAAGGTTGTTCTCAGGGACTACTTTGGGAACTTATATCAGAACTTCAGAGGCCTTTGCCATCATGATATCTTCATTACTAAGTGTACAACCTCTGATTAATTTTCTAAATTTTGAATGAAATGGATAGATGTAAGGTGGTTAGTTAAGTGACAAAGTTGTAACCTCATTTTGAATACATCTATATCAAAAACAAACAAAGCAGGTGTTGAAAAAATGCATTTAGTGGTTATTTCCCCTTGTCCTGTTATTTTTGAAACAAAAAGCACTTTTTTCATCATTCATTATTTCATTTAACTTTCAAGCAGCTTTATAAATGGAAGTTTATAGAAGTGGTAAGTGCATTCTACAACATGGCTTTGCGTGTGTAAGCTTCAACACCCCCTTACATTGTGTTTGGGCAAAGAGATTTGGAAAAGGAAAGGAAATGAAAAGGATCAAATTTTTTTTATTTGTTTGTGTATATATAAATGAAATCATTACCGAAAAGTTGCAGAAAGGTAGAAATAAAACAGTAGAGGCAAAGATTTCTTTCCCTTGAGTCAAATCATTCCAAATCTGACCATTTTAAAATATCTAAATCCATCCATTTTGAACCATCTGTTTTGTTCCAAACACTAATACACTAGCTTCCTGTTTTATCAAGCAGGGATTGTTTCTTTCACCAGACTTTATTTCTCTTTATCTTCTTTTGTCTTGCTTACCCTAACAAACCCCAACCCCCCCCCCCCCACAAACCCTAAACCACCAAAAAAAAAAAAACCACCCCCACCATTTCTCTTGAGGGTTCAAGTCCTTTAGGGACAAAGTGGGTGTGAATGAGTTTCTTGTCAAGGAAAATAAAAAATAAAAATAAAAAAGAATACATGTATGACTTACTAGGGGTGCATAGCACTCCATTTATACAAAAAAAAATCGAAAAATATTCCCAAGGAAGGAAAAGTTTCCTCCCCCAACTACCACAATCACTTGAAAAGCTGGAAAGTAGAAAACGTTAAGGCGTTGTTTCCAAAGCTTAGATCAGCATGGGCACACACAAGAAAAGCAGGACATAAGTAATATAAAGCGTCTAGGGTGGAATTGCTCTCCATTGCATAGTAAAGAAAGAAACAGAGACTCCTTGTTCAAGATCCATCTTGCGTCTGTCACTTATTTTGAACAACTATGGAGGCAAAACTATCAGAACCTGCAACTCGCGCCATTCTAGCCCCCAACTTGAACCATATTTTCCATCCAAATCCAAAGCCACCCTTAAATGCAGGAAAGTCCTTAAATTCAATATAGGGAAAAAAGAGCATCGCCCTATTCAAGCTTCCTTTTCTCCTATAAGGTAAAACAAGATAAGAAACTCAACTACCCTTTTGGAATCCTCTGTCTCTGCATTTTGTGAATTGAGTTATAATTTTAGCTAAGAATTTAATTATTGTTAATTAAGATGATTTCTTTCGCTGTATTTTCTTTTTGGTAAAAATTTTGTTGTTGACCTTTCTTTGGTATAATATTAAACCATGATTCTTGTTCTACAGCGAATAATTGGAATCAAGAGTTAGATTGGTGGCCATTTGCTGGTTTTGAAATGTATTCTGACTATGATGATTATATGTACATATAAGAACCTATAAAAGGCCTTGCATGTAGGCTGGGGATGATGATTTCTGCAATTTTTGAAAAGTTGAGGGGGGGCACATGCTCCCCCGAACTGGCTCCGTCCTTGACTATAAGTGCTATCATGTGTATGAAGACTTACATGTAAAGTGATATATTGGGATTTGAGATTTATTTGTCACAGTAACTGTCCAGAATGATAGTTTCTTTAAAACCTTTGTTATGTATCTGTTAGCCATAAAATTTGTTGAAATCTAAATTAATTTGGTTACTATCTCTAAACATTTCTTCAAATCTTATATGATGTATGCTACTTTACTGACTAATCCTTTGTTGCACTGAATAACAAAATATTTGTATATTGCATATCTTTATAGAAAAAAGAGTTGCTATTAGTTTAGGTCCTCATGAAACATTAAAGTATAATCAATGGTAGCAGACAACAAGGTATTTATGCATATTCGATACTCATGCTTGTGACACTACGGATTTTTACTTAGGCTTTGAATCATGATTAAAGACTTGATTTTTATATTTGGAGACTTTGATAATATTATTGGGGTTGTTATAGTTCATTTTGGAGGTGGGTTATAAATTGAATTAGATATAAATTGTGGGAGTTTTATGGGAGACACTTATAATATTATTTATTTAGTGGTGGAAGGTTGGGAGATGATACGTGGCAGCCTTAGGTTTCACCTAGTGACACATGTTCTCCCCGTAGACATGTTTGTGTCCTATATCTCACCTTTTGTATTGCATCACTATTACAGGGAGAAGAGAGACAATAGAGGGACAAAGATCAAGAGAAGGAAAGGAAAGAAGTAGGAGGTCCGGCCATGGAAGGAAGAAATCAAGGCTGGAATTTTCGGCACCAACCTCATCTTCTCATCATCTCCATGTTTGTATAAGGTAGGGTTTATACTAACTCTTGTTGCTATGGTGATTTTATGTCAATTTCTTCATGTTGCCATGAATAATTGCTGTACCTAATTCTTGTGTATATTATTCTGTTTTGAGTTGCTCCATGCTTTGGTCATTTTGATTCTCCACCATCTATTGAATTCAGTGCTTTGTTGAGAGGTATCTTGTATACATATGTTCATATGCCATGTACTCATTCTTGGTATCATGCTCCTTTGTTGAGAGGTATCATATGCCTTCATGAAATCTCTTAGCAACATTTGTTAGTGTACATCCTGCTGGGACTTTTAGTCTCACCCTACCATCATTGCAGGTTTCAATGATCATTGGAGAACAATTGGGAGTTGCTGAAAATTATATCATTGGAGACCATTTAGTTTTGTGTATAAAGTGTTTGAGAAAATGTTTGTAGGACTTTATACTTGAGGAATTGGATGTCTTTCTGTGTTTAAGTGCTTTTGTTGTATATAAAACATATTATGGACATTTAGAGACAGGCTGTGCATATATATATTTTTCTACAATATCTGTGATGGATTTGGTATTTGGAGCCTAGACAGAAAACAGTGATTTTAATTTTTCTGGAATTCGATATTTTCTCCCCAAGGCTGTAGTGATCCAAACGTTTTATCACGAGTTCCTCTGTTTGTCTAGTACATCTCTGTAAAAATTCGTTATTTTTGGATGAACAGATTTTTTAAAAAAAATACAACAGTGCCTGCTGTCCATCTTTAAATCGCTGCTGGAAAACAGATTTTAAATAATTAATTTGACTAACTTATTGACACCGGATCACTACAATAATTTCCAGTTTTTTACTTCCGCGAATCTACTTTCAAAATAAATTGAGTTTTCCCCATTTCCATGTAAAATGAATTTTCTATGAATTTTTTATTATCCGCTGCACAGATTTTTCTTCTAATTTAGCCCTGCTGTCCTATTGAATTTTCTACTAAGTTTTTAGTAACCACTTCACAGATTATTGAGTGTCATTATCAGATTGGCGCAACAAGGTTGTTTGGTAATATTGGTATATTTAATTGATGTTTGATTATGTTGTTCGGGTGGTTGTCGGACTATGAATTTGTCATAGCCCCTATTTCAGGTCGTTGCAATGCTGCTGGATCATGATAAAGTAAATTGCAATATGTTTATGTTTTCACTGAATAAACTATTAACTAAAAAGGTTTTTGTTCTGCGTTGTTGACTTTATAAGTTAGATACCAATTCCCGACTTTGTATTTCCTTTTCACACAGATATGCTGGCAAGAAAAGGGAGGATGAGAGTGATAGCATCATCTTCAGCATTTTAGAGAGGGCACAATATTGTTATAATGCATACACACATGATCACAATGCATTCTCCATGGATGGCTTCAGTGGTTTGTTGGTGGAGTACATGGTTAGAGAAGCTGAAAGCTTCATGCCCAGGTTACTAACTTTTCATAGAGAAAAAAATAAAAATTATAAAATGTAGAAAAGCAGAATGGTGCTGTTAACAGTTTTCTAAACAGATCTTCCCTTACAAATTAGGTGGGCAGATACAAGAGCACCCGATGAGCATCCTTTCTTCCCAGTGGACTTTCCGGAACCAATGCTTCCACCTTTGCAATACCCACAGGTAACTGAGACTTCATTCTACTAGTTGGTTAAGAACAAACTTCCTAATCTGAAGGTTATATGCATTCTTTTGGCATATATTGTAACTTTTTTTTTTCCTAGTTGGTACTCACACACACGTCTCTTCTGAGACTTGAATCCCTGACCTCCCTTGGGAAGTAAGAGGCCAATACCGCTAGGCCACTGGCCCGTTGGTCATATATATTGTAACTTTATTGCAGATACTATTTGGAATTCAATTTGTATTGTTTGTTTGATCCTTTAATATCCTGTTTTTAGAAATGCACTTGAAACTTATCCTTGAGAGTTTGTAAACATTGACTGTCAGAGATAGGTAGCTAGATGTTTTAATTAACAGTTACAATTTTGCTATGGCACAATGAAGAAACATTCTGGTAATGGTAATTTGTAGTCGCTTCATCATAATCAGATGAAAATGAAAAGAAGGCCATTCATTAAAGTATATTATTATTTTTTTTTTGGAGTGTGTTTGTAGAAGTCTTAATATGAACTTGACATTTTAGTTTTCAGTTTTAAGATGAACAAAAAGAATTATCTAGATGCTTTGTAGGAAAGCAATTGATTTATTTTGAAATTTATGTACAAGATAAAATCATACAGTTTGCACTGGACACGGTAATCCATACAACAGGGACTAATTAGATGTTGATGTTTGTCGTATTTGTGTTGCATATAATTGACTTCCAAATATATGGAAGCACATCTCTCCACATTGTTAACTTAAAAATACTGTCTTGGGGACTTGTTCTTGGCAATGCTGTGGACGACGTAGTCACTTAGAACAATGACATCACCTAGTCATTTATGATGTCATATACCAAATACTATGTGCTGCTATCTGATTGAATTAATTTTTTTGATGTTGAATGCTCTATTCCTCCCTTTTGGTAATGAGTAGAGCAATCTTCTATTAAGGTGCCAAAGGGATACAACCCAAGTAAGACAAAGGATAAAAGAACAATCCATCAGAAACCTAAAAGTATCTCATCAAAAATTATACATGGATTTACAGACACAAGAAAGACTTGGACATTAGTGCTAAGTTCTTGCTTCATTAGCTGATTCCACCTGTCCTTTGTTCTGACTTGTTAATAGGTTTTGCATCCTGGTGCTGATGCAATCAATATCAACAACTAGGTTTGGAATATGTATTTTAAGGATCTTCTCCCAAGAATGGTAAAAGGAGGGGATGACGGTAACTGCGGATCATGTGCTGTCTGTGACACAATGTGCTTGCAGGTATCGTTTGTCCTAAAATGCTTTTATTTACATTTATTTTATATAATTTTTTTTGTGCTCTCATTCAGTGTCACTAAGTGATATAGATAAGTACACTGTGAATCCACAGTACTATTAGAGATTGGATTTTTACATAATGTTTAGATGTCAAAAGGCAGTTTTGGAGCAACAACCAAACTTATATTACCAAGCTTTACAAGAATGGTTTTAGGCAATTTTATTGTTGGATTGATTACTATCTTCATCACACGTGGATTCCTTTGTTGCTCACTCACTCATGGCCTACCATGATGCAGCTGTAGTTATGGAAAAATGCAGGGAAATGAGACCCACTGTTTGATGGCTCTCTGCCAGAAACCAACCTCATGTAACTATGGCTATCTGTTTTATCAGGAAATTTATGTGTGTGTGTGTTACAATTAATGACAATAATTTGATAGTAACTGAGTTAAATTTATTTCCTTTGCATTTAAGTAAGGACAATAATTTAGTGGAAGCATCAAAGCAGGCTGCAAAAATAACAATAGGCTGCTGTCTTCAACTCTTTTCTGCATTTATTCAGTTTAATGTTTTTGCACCTGACACAATTAGCTGACAATAATTGAGGTTTTGTTATATAAAGCGTGTTTACAAGTTTTGTACGCAAAATTATGCCAGCCTTCAGTATTCTTAGTGATGTATGAACAAGGCAGTTTCTAGTGGTATACAAATTAAACCAAAATTAATTGCACAATCAAATTATTGAAATGTTCATTTCATTTTCTTCATGGTAGGACTTTTGCTAAATGCTTTGCCTCTTATCTTCTTGGTGGACTATCTTGTCATCTTCATTATGCCTGCAGGCACTGTCGAAAAGAATCCATTATATTATTATTATTATTCTTATTTGTTGTGTTGTATCTGTTTAGTTTTTCGTTTCGTCAAAAATATTGAAACATAATTGCTGAATTCTTCTTTTTTAAAGTGTGTTCATATTAGTTGGAGGAATCTTCCCAACTTTTACCCTTCATAGTTTTCAATATATATTATACATATTTAATTTACTTAAAATTTTATTCAATTTTAATTTTTTCTAAAGAGGCTTGTCTTACTCTCCGAGATAGTAATATTATTTTTATTTGAAAAGCATTTGAACAATCTTCTTATGTTTTATAGAGACTAATTATTAATAGTTAAAAATTTATAAATTGGCCAAAAAAACCAATTGTTGGGAAAATTCTAAGCATGTTTGAATAATTAATAAAAACAAAAATTTAGTTGTAAAGAATGAATCATTTTTCACAATAATAATAATAATAATAATAATTGCAAAACATCATGTAATTTTAGAAGAGTATAAATTGAAGATCAAGAGATTTAAAATTTATGTTATTAAATTTACTGGTCTTATTGAATTTTTTACAAGTCTTTGTGGCATTTAAAATTAAAATATTTATATTTACTGACAATTTTTTAAAAAATTCCTTTGTTTTGAAAGAACACATCCACTCTATTGAAGAGTCAACCCTCAATATTTCAAATAAAATTGTAATGTCTTACTATTTAAGAATTGTAATTAGTGGTACTTTTTTGAAGAAAAAAATTGTTTTACTATATTTGACTCAAAACATAATTTCATTTAGATTACACAGCTAAATTACAAGAACACCCTCCGCTATTAAACAATTTACCTTTCTTGGGAAAAGTGAGCGCAGCTTTTTATTTATTTATATTTAAGCAAAGCTGAATGTTTGTCTCGGATTCTCCTCCATGCCCCAACCCTCACTGTGTTCAAAGCATAGCTATAGATAAATATATATATATAGAGAGAGAGATGATAGAGAGAGATTATGGAGAAAGCTCTTTTAAAAGTTGGAAGCAGTAAAGCCGGAAGCTATTGGCTTTCCAAGAAGGCTAAGGAGGAGTTCACCAACATCACTGAAGAAATCACTGTACGTACAAAAATTTCAATCTTCTCTTTCTTAAACTCTGTTTTTCAGTTTTTGATCTGTTTTTTTAGTGGGTTTGTCCATTGGATAATTTTGGGCTAATTATTGGATGAACACGCGGGTTTGTGGATATTTGTATAAATGACATGTTGAATGGAAAAACAGTTGAAATAAAAGGTTTAATAATAAAAGGTATATGTATAATGGAAGAGATGTGTCATTATTATGTTATAGGATAGGGCTTAATTAAAGTGCGCACATTGGTTAATTTTCGGCCAATTATTAGGATGAACAGAAGGGTTTATGGATGTTTGTATAAATGACATATTAAATGGAACAGTAGTTGAAATGGGATGGTTTAAACATAAAAAGATGTATGTATAATGGAAGAGATTGAAATCTTATAATTTTATGATGACTCGTGCCAGTCTTGGTAAAATTATATTAAAATTATGTTTGGGAATAAAACTGTGGTAAAACGCTTGAGTATCAGTGTCATTGACGCTAGTTCAAGTCGTAGAACATTCACTTTATTAAATAACAAAGGTTAGGTCTCTGTGTCTTCCCTCCCCAAGATTCTGTCAGACTAGAACTGGGTAATGCCTTTTTTAAGGAAACTGTCTCTTGATTTATGATAAGTAATTACTGAAAAGGAAAAGAAAAGAGAGAGATTATGTTTGGATATTATATTAAGCATTCTAGCTTAGGATGTGTTTGGTCACAATTTGAAGTTGCATATCTCAACAGAAAGGAGAGAGAGATTCTGATTGGACATTTGTGTTAAGCACTATGGCTTAGGAAGCGTCTGGTCACAATTTGAAGTTGCATATCCAGCGGACGCGATGGACAGACTGCAAGAGAGAGTATGAAAGAAGCTCATGGCACATTTGCACTTGCCCCTTGAAAATAAATGATATCACCTTGAAATCATTGTTGGGCATTGTCTCTTCATGTAGAGCTATCAAATAATTGTACCACATCAAATCTTGGTTATCTGTGACTGGAAAATTGTCAAATAAGAGGATTGCTCATAATGAACTTCTTGACCACAACTGAGCTGCACTTGTCCACAACCACCACCACCACCAAGCCTTTTCCCAATTACTTAGGGTCAGCTACATGAATCACATGTCATTCCGCTCTATATAAGGCCATAGTGTCAGTCAATCCACATGTTATCATATCTTTCTTTACTAACTCTATTCACGTTAACTTTGGTCTTCTTCTCCTAGTATTATCCATTTATCCTCAATGTGGACTATGTCAATTTTCCTATACGGTGCACTTCAAGGTCTTCTTTGCACATGTCCAAACCATCTTAACCGATTTTCTCTCATTTTATCTCCGATTGGTGCTACTCCAACCATGTCCCAAATGTGATCATTTCTAATTTTGTCCTTGTCCATGAGGCACATTATTATTATTTGTAAATTTGATCTTTTGACAATATCATAATAACTGGCTTCTTTCTGTTCTTGCTCTCTAATATATTGGTGCAATTATGACTGATACATACCTCTACATAAATGGCCTGTTAGCTGTGAGCTGTAGGTCTGATTTTCCTCATTTTATTTTTTTATAAGTTGTTACTAGAAGTATAGAAATAAGATATAGTATAATGATAAACATACATCATTGCAATATATGGTGCATCCTATTTAGTGCAGAACTGCTAGGATCCACCACCAAAATCAATGATATTGTCCAATAACTACCTTAAATCAAGCATGGATGTGTGTACCGTATAAATAAAGGGGAAAAAAGAGCTATTTAAACCTATTTCTTTAGTCGATGAGTGTAGCCAAAGTGTTTTTATCCATTTGATGAAGTGAACAAGATCAACACTGACTCTCATCCACTTCATCATGTGTGGATAAAAACCCTTCTACTATGATTCTGGTTTAGGAAAAGGGTTTAAATAAAAAAGCTAGTCCACTGCACGAGACTTCCACCATGACTAGCAAGTATAATTTTAAATAAAATTACTAAATAAATAGGAAATAGTTCTAAAGTTAAATAAACGGAATAGCAAGTATAAATTTAAATTGTACGTATGTGTGTGAGTATATATATATATATTCGCCGGATAATGATATATTTGGTAAGTAATATTTATATTAGAAAGAAATCGAGTATATGAACAAGGGCTTTCCTGCAATATTCTGGATGTAGGTGATGCTCTTTTTTTCCTTAATTGAATTGAAGGACTTTCCTGCAGTTAAGTGTGGCTTTGGATGGAAAATATGGTTCAAGATTTGGTGAATTTTGAAAGTTGGGGCTAGAATGGCATGAGTTGCAGCTTATGATAGTTTTGCCTCTATATCTATTCAAAAGAAGTGATATACACAAGATGGATCTTGAATAGAGATTCTCTGTTTCTTTCTTTACTGAACAGTGGAGAGCAATTCCACCCTAGACGATGTATATTACTTTTGTCCTGTTTTCCTTGTGTGCGCCTATACTGATCTGAACTTTGAAAATAACGTCTTGACGCTTTCTACTTTTTAGTGTTTTAAGTGATGGTGGTGTTTGGGGGAGGTAACTTTTTCTTTCTGGGCAATTGTTTTCAGTTTTGAGTTTTCGTACATATGGGGGTGGTATGCGCCCCTCGTAAGCTATACCTAGGGACTTGAACCCTCGACTTTCTACTTTGGAAAGTGAGAAAGTACCACTAGGTTACAACTCTTGTTCATGTACTCGATTTCTTTCTAATATGAATATTACTTACCAAATAAAATAAAATAAAATAAAGAAGAGAAATGGTGGTGGTGGTTGTGGTGTGGGGGGTAGGGTAAGCAGACAAAAGAAGATAAAGAGAAATAAAGTCTAAACAATCCCTGCACTTGATGAAACAGGAAGCAAGTGTAGAAGTGTTTTGATAAAATAGGAAGCAAGTGTAGCAGTGTTTGGAACGGAACAGATTGTTCAGAATGGATGGATTTAGATTTTTATTCTTTTTTTTTTTTTTTTTTTTTTGGATAAGTAAGATTGTATTAGAAGCGGTCAAATTAGTAAGATTTAGATATTTTAAAATGGTCATTGGAAATGGTTGGATTAAGAAGGAATTGAATTCTCGAGAGTAAAAAAAAGAAATAAATATTTGCCTCTTCTGTTTTATTTCTACCTTTGGGCAACTTTTCGGCAATGATTTCAGTTATATATATGAAACACAAACAAATAAAAGAAATTTGATCCTTCTTATTTCCTTTCCTTTTTCAAATCCCCTTGTTGATGATCCAAGCAAAATGTAAGGGGGGTGTTGAAGCTTACACAAAGCCATGTTGTAGATCATTCAAATATAATTTAGTGGTGCAGGGCAGTAGCAATAAACTGCTGTCCGGCAACTGTAGCAGTGCAAAACCACGAAGGAAAGGGTTTTCCAGCAACAAACAAGCAGAAAAACATAGAGATAAAGCAATAGAATCGAAGTTGGAACATAGATAGGTGAGTTCTAGGGCAAAGAGACCAATGGAAAGTGTTCAATTGAAACATGAAAACAATAAAAGAAATTTAATCCTTTTTATTTCCTTTCCTTTTTCAAATCCCCTTGCTGATGATCCAAGCAAAATGTAAGGAGGCCTTGAAGCTTACACACGCAAAGCCATGTTGTAGATCATTCAAATACAATTTAGTGGTGCAGGGCAGTAGCAATAAACTACTGTCCGGCAATTGTAGCAGTGCAAAACCATGAAGGAAAGGGATTTCCAGCAATAAACAAGCAGAAAAACAGAGAGATAAAGCAATAGAATCGAAGTTGTAGATAGGTGAGTTCTAGAGCAAAGAGACCAATGGAAAGTGTTCAATTGGAACATGAAAACGTGACTAAATTGGTCCTAGTTACTCTTCGGAACGGAGTGGAAGAAGCCCGAGAGAAACTCTAAATATGATTTTCTGGAATAAAAAACTGCATACAAAGTCACTTAATAGTCTATTTATACTAGGGTTACAGCAGCCCTAGCATCCTTGCCCTTGATTACTTCAATAACTAATAGATCTTAACCCTCCAAAGTAGTTAAAAACTCACATGACAGTCACATGACTATTTAAAAAGTCTAGGACTATAACTATCATCTACCAAATAACATAAAACATAAAAATCAAATAAGACACAAAGAAAATAAGCAAATAACTAAAACCCTAAGATAACTAGAACCCAAGCCTAGTTGGCTAGTGGGCCCGATTAGTCTTGGAGAGCATTGTAGATGCTCCTGCATCCTTTAGTCTCAAGAGACCTAAGAGGATGGATACAGTTGCCACTTCTATAAACTTCTATTTAAAAAGCTGTTTGAAAGTTGAATGAATGAAAAAAGTGTTTTCCGTTCCGAAAGGAAATAATA